GCATCAATTTAGTCTCAAATTCCAGGCTTCTCTGCCCAAGGAAAAAATCGACAGGATAATCTTCGTAGCATCCACCCTCTCAGACTATTCAAGCTGTTCAAAACATGAACTCCTATCCTTGCTTAGCTACCTAAACTTTGCCATGTGTATTATCCCTCAGGGCCGCCCTTTTTATTTGGCAGCATCTCTCCCTCACATCCTCGTTTTACGTGCTAGAGGATAGAATTTCCATAACTCAGCCTTGTCACGATGAACTCTCATTATGGATAACATTCCTAAAACAGTGGAATGGCTTATCCTTTTTCTACAACAATCTCGCATCTTCTCCCGTTGACATCCAACTGTTCACAGATGCAGCTCCCTCAGTCGGGAGACTTCCCTTTATCAAGGGCATCGCGTGCGTTCACGTGAAGGGGTAGGGGTGTCTCAATTCTCTTTTGGTTGGAGGGGTAGGGGTAGGGGAAGGGCCAGACAGCCCTTCAAACGAAGATTTTTCGGGACCACACTTCAAACGAAGGGGTATGAATTATCTCAGCGTAAACTGGCTTCAGGGGCAACATGGCTGCCCGAGCGAACAAAAAGACACATAAATGTAAGCATTTTTGGCATTAATAAAGATTTTAACGAAAAGTAATCATTTGTTTTACGTTACATTCAATCGTGAGTTCGTATTTACGGTCATGTTACTCAAAGAAATTTTTGCAAAAAATCGCTAATATTTGCTAACTAATGTCATATCATTATAGACTGCACGATAGTGCCACAACATATTTTCATGTCTGATCAGGGCGATAACCACCATAGACATTGAGGGGGGCTAGTCCCCCCAATAATTAGAAATCGCTAAACCCTTTTCTCAAATATTTCCAATTCGAGAGAGAGAGATGAAAGTTGCGTGTCTGTTTACTTAAAAAAACAGCGATTTTATCCTCTCGTTGCTGGAAAATATAATGTAGCGATTCAGTATTTAAACTGTTAATAAAAGTCGTGGGGCAGCATTGACAAGTTTCTTTTCTCCTGGATGTGTGAGCTGCGCGATCTCCGATAAATATATGTGTGTGTGTGTGTGTGTGTGTGTGTGTGTGTGTGTATGTGTGTGTCAGTAAGCAGCGCATTAATATAGAACGGTAATTAAAGGCTCTAATGCACTCCAGCACACCAGTATAGGTGTGTGTACTGTAGGAGCTAGACGACGTATGATGACTTGTGACATATAGTAGTGGTGTCCCAATTCTTAGGGGAATATTTTCACCCCTACCCCTTGACACTCTGTTTCAAGGGACAAGGGGA